CTGAGCTACAACCGTAGCCCACTTTTTTGTATTCCTAATACATAGCATACAAGGCAGAGGGCAACAGTTAGAGACTACTGATAGAGCAAAAAATTATAGCTTGGCAAACGGAAAAAGTCACACATTATAACAAAGATAATAAACTTTGTTTATAGTATTATTCCATTATGTGAAAAAAAAATTTGATTTTTCTTAAAGACCCTGAATATACAATTGAAATACAGTGTAGTATGCCAGTATGTGTTGCTTAAACCAGAAGTTTAGAATACTTGTGAAGGCCTTAGAGCATCTTATATTTTAGAAGGTTTCCCATCAAAAATTATAATAAAATTCAACTGGAAATGTAGCTCAGTGTTAGAGTGTGCTTAACATGCACAAGGCCTTCGATCCAATCCTTAGTGTACCGGTACACAAAATTATAGTAAAGTTCATGTACTTAAAGGCTCTGAGGAAAATATGGTTTTCAAGAATGACTTAGTATTTAGAGTTCCTAACTATATGAAGTCTATTGTGGTTAGTGTAGTAAATGAAGAGTAATAGTGGTGATATTTGTGGACTGCTTTATTGAATATAGTTTCCTCACATCCTGACAGTAACCAAAGAGATCATATACTATTTTTTTTTCATTTTATATTTGAAGAAACCAAGGCACAGTAAAGTTACATAATTTAAAGTGTAGTCTCTCTTTTACCTAGTAGTAAGTGACTTTTGGTGAACATTATGGGACAGAACATTTAGAAAATAAGTCAATACTAACTTACATAGGGGATGATTCTTCTTTGTGAAGCCAATAAAGCTAATGAAAAACATCTCTGATCATGCAGGTAGGATTCTGTGCTGGTCAGTTAAGTGTTATAGACAAAGCTTTTAGTGCCTGGCTGTGTTATATTTTAAAGCATATTCTGTGTCTAGAATTTTGTCCTGCAGTTAGTTGTACAAGTAGACAGAGGTATGTACACAATAATGTTTTTATTATTTGTAGTACAAAACTGACAAAACTCTAAATGTCCCTTGTGGGGGATTAGTTAATTTGTGACAGATACATCTATGTGATGAAATGCTATATAAGAAAGTGAGAAACCTATATATGCTGATAGTTGTTGACCATTCGTATTATATGTGTGCTTGTGTGTTTATATACATGTAGAAAAACATAGAAAATAAATTATTAATTCTGATGGAATTGTAAGAACTTTAAACTTCATATTCTTAAGTACTGTTTTTTTTTTATTTTACTATGATTATGTAGATTTTATAATGTCAGGAAAATAAAGCTTAGTGGTTTTCAGTAGCTATCAGTAATATACCAATAACAACTAGCTAGCCCTGGTTTTTCTAGGTGAGTTAGAAATCTTAATATAACAGAATCTATAGTCAACAGAATCTATATCCTAATAAGTACTTCAAGTATTCTTCATGTTCAAGGTATTTAACTTTGCTAGACAGTGAGTATGCACATATATATGCATAATTAAGAGGAAATTACCATAGAGAGGAAATTAAAAGAGTAAGACTTTGAAAGATGCTGAATTAATATATTTCATAATTTTAGAGATGATAAATGATTCTCTAGGAAATTATCAAATATTTTAGAAATAAAAAACCTAGCTAATTTCAAATAACATGAAAGAATGGAGATACCTATCAGCCTGGCCTGTAATCATAGGTGAATTCTTTCAGCTTTTCATGGAACGCATAATTTCTGATCTATTTAAAATATTTCTGCAAWGGCTGCTCACATTGAGGAAGGGGGTAGTGGGGGGAAATGAATTAGACATTACTCCTGATGAGAATAAAATGAAATACCTAGAAAGTATCCTTGCCCTTGCCCTCCCCCACCATCCACAATCAGACTCAAATCAGAGCAAGCCATTAAATTTAACCAGCAATTCACAGTAAAGATGAGGGATAGAGAAACATGTCCAACGATGCCATGGGAATGGAATCAGCGCAAATTACTTGGTTTCTATAATGAATGAATGGCAAAGAAAAAAAGGTGAAGGTAGAATCTATGAATTAAAAGAGACAAGATAAGAGATAAGAGACATATCAGCCACTTGCATTGCTTGGAGCTTACTAAAATCCTGGTTTAAAGTAGAAAACTTCTCTTTTTTAAATTGGAAGAATTTAATTGGAAACTGGTTACATACTGGGTATAATTTTAAGATATTGTCTGGAGGAATGAAAGTAATCAAATTATATAATGTGCATGGATGAATATGTAATAATGAATCCCACCATTATGTATAATTATTATGTACAAATAAAGTTGTTTTTAAAATTAAAAAAAATATTTCTGAGCAGAGAGAAAAGAAGTAAAGCTTGCTAGTTAGGTTCACGAATCCATCATAATTCCAATTAAAAACCTAACAGATTGATTTGTTCTAACAAAAGTTTAATTGTGGACTGGGGATGTAATTCAGTGGTAGAGCACTTGTCTAGGATGCTTTAAGCCCTGGGTTCCATCCCTGTTACTGCCCAAGAGAGTTTAAAGATTATGGTTAAAATGTTACAAATGTTATTTTTAAAATGTCATACACCATGATTAAATGGAATTCCTTCTAGGAACCAAGGGATAGCTCCACATTAAGAAATCTATTAATGTACTTATTGATAGACCAAAGAGAAGAATCTTGGTCTTTTAATTTTCTACCCAAATGCAAATGGTAACATCTATATTTGGTTTTTGGAAATATGAATCAAAACCAAACTCTTAGGAGAAGAATAGAACTGAGTAACATAACAGATGTTAAGAGTGTTATACGGTATTATGCTTAATAACAAAACACTAGAGTTGATCTTGTTTAATTTCAGAATAAGACTATAGAGTGCCATCCCAAGTAAAATCTCAATTTATTCTAACAAATGATTCTGAAGATTACTTGGAAGAGTATATGACAATATTTTATATGCTTTATTTTACATACAAAATTATCTTAAAATGTGTAATGATCCCCTCTGAGACATTAGGTGGGCAGAAAAGAGTAGTGCTAAAGATAGTAATCACAATAAAAATGCCTGCATGGCAGATAACCCTGTGTGGCCTTCCTTTGTTAACTCTGCCTTGTTTTCCTCATAGTTCCTTTAATGGTTAACCTCTTAGAATTTCTTTTGCCTTTTTCAATTTCCTCAGAAGTGCATGCCCCTTAGTGGCAGAACTAGGAATTTTTTCTAGTGCAGGTCAGTCAACAGATACAACTTTTCTTTTTTCTTAAAGACCCTGAATATATAACAGTGATAACATTGGTACTTTTCTGAAATTCTTTCTATACTTCAAACTTAATACTACAATATCTCAAGTGTACTTTAACTTCATTTGAATTCGAGAAAAAGAAAATCAGTGAAACATACCAATAATTTGTTTTCTTGGAAAAATGTGACAAGGATACTTAGTTCTTATTTTAAGATTAATTTATAATATCTGTCTAGCAAAAATTATACCTTTTAAAGTTATTATTTTATCTCATAATCTGAAATCCTCTTTTTGAGATATTTTTCCTGTAGTAGCCAGTTAAAGAGGTACTTGTTAAGAATAACTAGAATGATCAGTGTAGGTCCTTGAAAGCTTTTATGCTTAAAAAAGAGAAAGGGAAAAAAACTTTGTGTTTCAATCAAAGTAGTATAACTATATTAAACAAAGGAAAAAGACCCTGCTATTTTTTTATTTGTTCTATTTTAGATATACATGACATTAGAATGTATTTTGCCATGTTATACAAACATGGAGTATAACTTATTCTAATTAGGATCCCATTCTTCTTGTTGTACATAATGTAGTGTTACACTGTATATTTATATATGAACATAGGAAAGTTATGTCCAATTCATTCTACTGTCTTTCCTATTCCCATCTTCCCTCCCTTCCCTTTATTCCCCTTTGTCTAATCCACTGAACTTCTATTCTTCTCCCCTTCCCCTTCATTGTGTGTTAACATCCACATATCAGAGAGAACATTGGGCCTTTGTCTTTTGGGGGGATGCATGATAGTTTCCAGTTCCACCCATTTACTGGCAAATGCTAAAATTTCATTCTTATTTATGGCTGAGTAACATTCCATTATGTATATGTAMCACATTTTCTTTATTCATTCATCTGCTGAAGGGTACCTAGGTTGGTTCCATAGCTTAGCTGTTGTTAATTGAGCTGCTATAAACATTGATGTGGCCATGTCACTGAAATATGCTGATTTTAAGTTTGTTTAGGGTAAATACCAAGAGTGGAATAACTGGGTCAAATGGTGGTTCCATTCCAAGTTTTCTGAGGAATCTCCATATTGCTTTGCAGAGTGGTTGTACCAATTTGCAGTGCCAACAGCAGTGTATGCGTGTACCTTTCCTCCATCCTTGCCAACATTTATTGTTTCTTGTATTCTTAATAATTGCCATTCTGAGTTGAATGAGGTAGAATCTCAGTGTGGTTTTAATTTGCATTTCTCTAATTGCTAGAGATGTTGAATATTTTTTCAATATTTGTTAACCATTCATATTTCTTCTTCTGTGACTGCCTGTTCAGTAAAGCCCTGCTATTAATCTTGCCTAACAAAATAGCTGATAGAATTTCGCTAATTTCCAAATTTGTTTTTTCCTCCACTTAATATATCTTAGCATTCTGCCATGTTATTTTATCATTTTATAACCTTATTTTAAATGGCTGTGTAATAAGCTACTGGTTGCATGGTACTATTGTATCTGCAGTGCTTATGATGAAGAGTATGGATGATATATTTCTAAAAAATAATGTGAACCTTAAGGAAAAATCATTACTCTAATAAAACAAAATTGTTCACTACATGGATTTTGATAAATAGGAGAATGATAACTTTCTTATACAACCAGTTCCTTTTTGTTTTCAAACATACGAACCTGAAACTTGAAAAAATTGGTTACCATATATTAGAAAAGTATTTTTGAAGAAGTTACAAACAAGTAGGATAGCTGCTTATTTTTGAATGGAGAATTTTTGCCATAAATCTTAATGTTAACATTCTGTTCTTTTATAGATTATGGAACTATGTGGTGCAACAAGACTTGGTTATTTTGGACGAAGTCAGTTCTACATTGCTTTGAAACTTGTAGCTGTGGCCCAGTCTGGTTTCCCGTTAAGAGTAGAAAGTATAAATACAGGTAAATATGCAACACACTAGTAATTGAAATGATAATAATCCTCCTACTTTCAAATGAAATCAATAGGACCTTTGAATCTTTCTGATATTTTTAATAACATCTGTGACTTTTAAAATATCACAACTTTATTCTCACTACCTTGCATTTCTCACTTGAAAATGTTAGAAATGTATGTCTAATATCTGTTAGGGCATAGAGTATGTACATCATATACATTTGATGATAACATTCAGATGGCAATTTTTTCAGAGTTAATCCACTAAAAATTGCTTAGAAAGAATTTGGATAATTCTATWAAGATAAATGATAATTGTAGTGACCATCTTATCATATAGCTTCCTTATTGTCTTCTTTTCTAATATAATAACCTTATACTTGCCCTTTTGTTGTTGTTGTTTGAGAAGGCTACAGAAGCTCCATTGAATTAAAAASTATCAGTTAATCAAAATTTTTTTGATTAATAGAGATAATATTGAAATAATTGGAAGCTGAAACCCAGTTACAGACATCTTAGCTACCAGTAATGCATTTTCAATTATTTGGAGGGTCGTTGATGTGGAAAAAGATAGAAATTCTATAAAAGTAGTTGCTTGTATGTAGAGGGTTCTATAGTTTTCTTAGAGAAAAGGGGAAAGGGAAAATTTGAAGTTTTTTTTTTAATGTCAGAATTTTTATACTTTTAAATGTTAGCTCAGTTGATTGGTAGGTCAGAGGTTTTTATCGTGGACCTCTGATTTGCTACGTCTTATTCTTCTAGTGTTGAGAATTTGCATTCTTTTCAAGTGAGTTTGAAATCTAAATAAAGTTAATTATTTCCCTCCTTCAAGTGATGGTTCTAAAAAGAAATCAAAAGGGAGTTGTTGATGTAGCTCAGTGGTATGGAGTACTTGTCTAGCATGCATGTGCACAGGCCTTGGGTTCAATCCCCAGCAGAAAGAAAGAGACAGACRAACAAAGGTAATCACATAGTAGAGGCAATGTACTTTGTTCCAAAAATGATTCTGCAGCTGTATTATTCTACCCCAAAAGTATAAGTTATGGTTGACCTGCAAAGAAGTTCTGTTTTTCATCTTTCTCCTCTGCTTAAGATTGATACCTTGATACCAAATAGGATACCTGATGTGGGAGAGTCATAAGCCAGACTAAAGGGGAGACAAGCAAGATATTTTCAGGAATTTCTATTATAAAAATGTCTAAATTAAATTAAGCTAGTCTCAAACTTAGTGACATATCTTGTGCTTTACTTAGAGCTCTGAAATCTTACTTTAGAGACCCAGTATGAGTAGAAGCATCCTAGGCTTTTAGTCTAACTGACTTGGGTTCAGATTCTGTTACTTGCTACCAGCATGGCCTTGGCAATCTCAGCCTCAGTTTCCTAATCTGTAAATAAGAATGATGTTCATTGGGTTGAGATGAATATAAAGTGACAAGTAAAGGACCAGACATACAGTGGACATTTAATAAAGCTGTTGTCATCCCTTAGAAGGACAGTTTGACTTCTTTCTAATCAGGAGTCTCCCTAAACAATCTAAGCCATTTATGCCTATTGTTTCTCTGTCAGTTTTTTGCAAAAAATGTCATATCTAATTTCACTTTTTTTTTTTTTTTTTGAGAGAGAGAGAGAGAGAGAATTTTAATGTTTATTTATTTTTTAGCTTTCGGCGGACACAACATCTTTGTTTGTATGTGATGCTGAGGATCGAACCCGGGCCGCACGCATGCCAGGCGAGCGTGCTACCGCTTGAGCCACATCCCCAGCCCCTAATTTCACTTTTTAATAAACGTACCCTTTTTAAATTTTAAAGTTATGTAGGTGGAACTTCCCTAATGTAAACTCCAAAACCCAAAGCTTTGTGGGCATTGACAAGATACCCAAAAAGTTTTGGATTTTGAGCATTTCAGATTTTGAATTTTTTAAATAGGGATGTTTATCTTGTAAATTCTATTCAGATATTCCAAAATCTGAAAAACTCTGAAATCTGAAACATTTCTGGTCTCAAGTATTTTGAATAAGGAATACTGAGCCTGTAATTATTTTTGTTGTTAACAGTAAAGGACCTTCCTCTGCCAAGATTTGTTGCTTCAAAGAATGAACAAGAATCTCGCCATGCAACCTCATATTCTTCAGATTCYGAAAATCAGGGGTCTTATTCTGGTGTGATTCCTCCTCCACCTGGCAGAGGGCAAGTAAAAAAGGGATCTRTAAGCCACGATATAGTTCAGCCTCGTGCGTCTGCAGATCAACAGGTAATCACATTCATGTAAACGTTATTAGTTGAAGTCCTGTATAGATGTTTATACTAAAACATTTATTAGCACCTGAATAGTTAAAATGCCACCTTATAGATTTAGTTTTAAAATAATTATATTCTTCCTAGGAACCTGCATCCCCAGTAGTTTCACCACAGCAGTCTCCGCCGACTTCTCCACATACATGGAGGAAGCACAACCGTCATTCCAGTGGGGGGAATAATGAAAGGCCTCTTGCAGGACCTGGGCCATTTTGGTCTCCTTTTGGTGAAGCACAATCAGGTATTTGAGATATTCCATAAGAATTATTTAGAATTTTCAATTTGACATTCCTTTAAGAGTTGCTACCAAGACAATTTTTAATTGTAAGGCTGACTTAAATAGAAGCAAAAGCTAGTAATGAAAATTTGTTAGTAGATACATTGCTTTGAAAAGTTGTGATTACATTTACTTAATATAGATATGATACTAGAAAAAAGATATGGATAACATTCTCTGAAGGTAAAGTGAGTAATCATTTCCCAGAAAATTKGGTATATTAAGTTTTATTATTGACAAAGAAAGCAGAAAATGACTAAAAAGAGTTACATGAGATAATTTTTAATTGAACAGAAAAGATTCCTTAGGAAATTGTATCATTTCTTTGAAGTTGGAATTTGACAGAAAACTTTTWATTAGTGCATATTAATGATACAGAATAGGGGATTTCAATGGAAAGAAAACTTTGAAAATGTAAGTGGTAGTTTGTTACAATCTTAGCTTAAAACCCTGTTTTGTTTTGTTTTTCCCTTCAAATATGATTCAATGTGTTCACCAATTTTCCTCCTAGGTTCTTCTGCTGGTGATGCAGTGTGGTCTGGRCATTCTCCACCTCCACCTCCACCTCCACCTCAAGAAAACTGGGTCAGTTTTGCAGATACTCCACCAACCAGTACTCTTTTAACCATGCATCCTGCTTCTGTCCAGGTGTGACATTTTATTGGTATTGCATTTTTATTTGCTTCATTCAGAGTATTGCTGCAGTCATTATTTTTATATTTTGCTGTTGCAGATTTTATAAATGTAAGTTGACTCTTATTTAAAAAAAAAAAWAATCCAGAACTTCTCTGTGTTATTTTTCAAGCCTGTTATCACTGGAATGTTTCACTAAAGGTTCTGGCTGATTTATTTGTTTCTAATTTCCCAACRAAGCTTGAAAAGGTTTCTGCATCTGTAAATATATTTGCTTGGCTTCCTTAGCACATTTTTCATAACTTTCTGTTGCTTACATAATTGCTGTCATTCTACACATTTATATAATCATTGTGCAACAACATATCCAATAACCTGGCTCTAACTAATGTGTGATTTGCTGATGACTTCTTACATTTTAAATATCCACAAAAAAAGTAAGTTTTACTATCAAGGATGAGTAACCTAGCAATCTTGGTCCATATAATCATATAGATAGATACTGTACTGAGGAAAAAATGTTTCATTGCAGGACCAGACAACAGTACGAACTGTAGCCTCAGCTACAACTGCCAATGAAATTCGTAGGCAATCCAGTAGTTATGATGATCCCTGGAAAATAACAGATGAACAAAGACAGTATTATGTAAATCAGTTTAAAACCATTCAGCCTGATCTAAACGGATTTATTCCAGGTGAGTTGTTGAAAACAGAAGTTCTCCTAGATGGGACAGGACAATCTCAATTTTATAATCTGAAAGACATTGTTTTATTGGTCCTAGATTTTAATTATAAAAGATCATTAATTCTCAGATTATTTATCTAAAAAGTTTATAATCACTGAGGAACAAAAATATGACATATTCAYAATAATAGTTACCTTTTTCCCAATGAGAAAAAGTCTAAAATTATTCTTACCTCATATTCTGTTTTTAGATCTATACATTCAGAATAACATTAACACTGTTTTAATATTTCAGGATCTGCAGCTAAAGAGTTTTTTACCAAATCAAAACTTCCTATTCTTGAACTTTCTCATATTTGGTAAGTGTGGTATATCATTAGTTGGGTAACATGGGTTGTTTCAAAGGAGTTTCCAGCAGGTAGATTTCAGAACCTTAAAACTATGAGATTAATCCATTCAAAAATGTTCTCAAAGAATTTAGTATGGCCTTACAATAGCCAGTTTCTCTCTCACTTTCTAGGAAAGAAATAAGTGATAGTGGACATCCTTTCATAGTAGAAATAGGTGATATGGAAATTTTTTGAATATTGTAAAATTCAAACAATATTAGCTTTTCTTGTTGCTAGCATAATGAATGCATAGGATAAAAGCTAGTATACATGGTTGTTGCTTATCTCTTTTGGTTTTGGTTTTTATCAAGTTTAATAAGGTCTAATGAGAGCAGACACATTCAGGGCCTGAAGTTCTATAGCAGGCCATAAGTTGAAAAGCAATGCTTTGCTTCCATGTTAAACATAGACTAAAACTCTCTAGATAGCTGCCACATAGTTGGAATTGGTCATTGGAACACAAAATACAATTTCAAATTATGTTTGAAACTAATGATCAGATAAACATTATTTCTACTTGGTATCAATATATTTCTCTGTTTTCTAAATTATTTTGTAATAAATTTTTAGTAGCATGTAGAGTACTGTAATAGGAGGTAGGTAGATTATGCCTAAAACTGAGATACCAAGAACTAGCATGCCCTTTATAGATAAAGGCAAKAAATACAAAAGTGGTGACCTTACATCTAAGAAGTGGTAGGGGACAGCAGCGTGGGAGGCCGTATTTTTGTAYTGAGTGTTGTAGTTCTATTCAGTGCTTTAAAATGCATACATGTTGAACTTTGATAACAATAAAAACAAAATTTTAAAGAATGTCCATGGCTTTATATACAGCTTACTTTAAACTTTATTACTTAAATACATGGGCTAAATTAAATTAGGTCATTTTTTTTGGTGGCTTTAATTATTGACACTATTTTTCAGCATTTTATTATGAGAATTTCAAGCATGTAGGAAAGTTGAAAAATTATAGGTACCCAGATACCCACCACCCTCATTCTACGATTAACATTTTAATTATATTTGCTTTATTATATATCTTTATTACACATCTATGGGATTTTTATACCTCATGACTTTGTACTTTTTGGAGGAAAGAACATCTCTTTCCTATTTTTTGAGAAAAGAAAAAAAAAGGAATCCAAAGCAGAGTATGGTTGTGTTCATAGTAAGTTTGTCTTCTAGGGAACTCTCAGACTTTGATAAAGATGGTGCATTGACACTGGATGAGTTTTGTGCTGCTTTTCATTTGGTGGTTGCTAGAAAGAACGGCTATGACTTACCAGAAAAACTCCCTGAGAGCTTAATGCCCAAACTGATTGATTTGGAAGATTCAGCAGGTAAGATTGGGAGCCAGAGGGAGCTGTTTGCATGCCTTGATAAATATAATTCTTGATTTAAAACAAAATCAAGATATATTTTAAAATGTAGCTTAATAGCTTTGACTTTCCATTAGGAGCAAATAGATTTGCCATTAGAAAAGACAAGTAGACTGAACTTGGATTTATTTTAGTCAGCTTTTAAAAATAAAGAGGAGGTTAGAGTTGTGACTTAGTGTTAGAGCACTTGCCTAGCACATGTGAGGCACTGAGTTCAATCCTCAGCACCACRATAAATAAATAAATGAAGATATTGTGTCCACCTACAACTTAAAAAAATATGTAAATAAATAAATAAAAATAAAGAATATATACCATTGTTTTATCTTTAACTTGTTACTTGCTGAGATTTGAAGAGCATTTCACAGTTTTGACATTTATCGTCTATTTTAATTGCATTATATATTGTCTGAAGTGGGTATAATCTGTCTTTGTTATAAACATCTTTCTATTTAATGCATCTTAATTTGTTGAAAGGAAATCATCTGATTTATCTTTAGACCTTTGCAATCACAAACATTTTCCTTTAAAACACCAAACTTTTTAAAATGCAGATTGTAAGGAAATCTGGAAGTTTTGAGTTTGATGTTAGATAATATTATTTTGTTAACAAGAATGTTAARTGATCGTATTTACTGATAGCTTTCTTTAAAAGTACATTGAATACATAAATAGGCATTTAAATGACAGAGCAGGTGGTTTTTAACTGTTCTGTTTCTATRCACACTGATCACGTGTATCTGTTTGAGATACTGAAAGATAAAAAGGGATGTGTTTCCTGTCTTTTCCTCCATAATCATTGTTGTACACATTAAATATGGGCATGTTTCATTGTTTTATCTACAGTGCATAGCTTATATTTCCCAAACTCTAAATAATGTTTTTTTTTCCAAAAATCAGGGGTAAAAATTAGCATTCTTAAATTCTGAATGAATAAAGGGAAATTTGTTAMATTAATAAGCTTCCTTAAAATCATTTTATTATCTTCAGTCTTCCCTTCTAAATTCAGAATTTGGCTTTCAAATGAACATTTATCAGGCAACGTCTCTTTAACACAGAAGTGTCTATCGTCTAATTTTATTGTCTAAGTTATACCAAAGGAAATCATACATATGATTACTTTTGTGAAGAGAATGACTCAATAATATGAGCATGCTTCCAGTTTTGCCAGTTATGTCTGTGACCTTGGACAAGTTCCAACCAAATACTCTACTTTTCCTTCTGTTTCTCTACCTAATATATGAAATAGATGCCATTCATATTGACCTGTACACTGACCTTTTGTCAACCGGTRGGTCGATTAAATAAAGAGTTTAGCATTGATTTTATTTTTTTAGGAACTTTTTTTTTTAATGAGAATCCTAAGGTTTTATTTCAGATACTTATAAAGTATCATTTAACCTCTAACTTGAACTAAAGCTAAAAACTGTGTCTTTATTTATGTAGTTTTGTTTCAGAGTACTTGATTTATCTACTTAAGAAATAAACAAATAACTCCTTTGTTTAGCTCAGATGATAGTTGCCAAAAGAAGAAATTGCAGTAGCCTCAGACTCCTGGTTTTATTTGGTTTAAAAATTAAGCCTTAGGACAGTGGGTGTAGCCCAATGGTAGAGTGTTTGCCTGGTTATGTGCAAGGCCCAAGGATTGATCCCCTGCACCTTTAAACAGTAACAACAACAACAAAAAATTTGAATCTTGGATATAGAGTTTTTATATGACTGAAGCTTTTGAAAACTGATAGTGTAGTAATACAAGGAGATGATTTAAGTTAACTTTACTCTTTTGTATGTAATTTTCTAGAGACTTGTCTGGTTTTGTCATCTATGTATGTAGATAGCTGAATCTGGCTTTTGCATGTAATTAGTGGGTTTTTCTTTTATTTAATTTGAATAAAATCATTGCCTTAGTAAATATCTACTGCCGAATTTTAAGGCTGATGTTCTGAAAGTAGTTCTTTTCTGGGCATTTTGTCCAATTTTATACTTGTTACATCTATTTAATTGTCTTTTTGTCCATTTTATACTTGTTACATCTGTTTATCAGAGAGGCTAATATTTTGCCTGCATATGTCTGTGCACTATTGCTTTTTAACTATGATTTTAGAGGTATCACAGGCTTAAGACTAAATATAATACATGGTTTTCTGATTAGCTTTTTTATAAAAATTTTAACCACATAGATTCACATCTGTTTTGTCTATTTATAAATGATAAATTTTGGAATTCTGTTAAGTTAGGGGTTGTAGGAAAGAAGTATATCTTTTTTTTCCCACCTATGATAACCCTGGGATTCATATGACACAAAACCTGTTTAATGTAGAAATTGTCCTGTGCTACTGTGGGTCAGTCAGTGTCCRTAAAAATTATAAATAGCTGTGTTTTTAGAAGTGCATAAGGGAGAAGTAASCAGATAGTTTCTTCTGGCAGATCACAGTTATACCTGCTTTAGAGCTGTTTTGACTATTGGCCAAGGTAGTATCTCTGTTTGATTTCTCATAGCATCTTTGCTTACTTTTCAGAATAGAATATATCACTCTGAATCTTGTTTCTTTAATCTKYYCCCCCCCTTTCAACTACTATACTTTGAGCTTCTTTAAAAAAATGTATCTCATTCATTATTAAGTATCTTTAGGAACTAGAGTGTTGGCAGCCATATACTAAATTGCTCAGTAAAGAATTATTAGAAGATTAATGCTTTTAATGTGTACCATTTTCAAAGTAAGAAAGTTTTGTTGATACCTTTCTGACCTTGAAAATATAGCAGTTTATTATATTTGTGATGTTGGGACATACTAAAATATTACCTGTACAAGTATTCTATACTTAGAATTTAAAACTCTTAGGGGSTAGGGAACAGCTCAGTAGCAGAGTGCTTGCCTAGCATATTTGAGGCCCTGGATTCAATCCCCAGCACCAGGTAAATAAGTCCAACAGTCAAATAGATGGTAAACAGTGGTAACTTGAATTAGAGCTCCTGGAAGTAACAAGTTGGCTTTCTTCAGATGTGTAGACATGGGTTGAGGTAAATATATATTTTTTCAAAAATAATTTGAGCAGGTTTATGGGATTAAATAGCAGATAAAACAATTACAAATCAGAGGTAGAAGTACTTATATAAACAGATTAAAATATGTACTGTCAGCACTGAATTTGGCAACTAAAATAGAGAAACTTGGTATTTGTTTTATAAAAAAAAAGGCATGTAAAAAATTCATCTGCAGAAACAGTGTCTGAAGCTGAATTCAAGAATGTTTATGTTTAAAACAAAATTAAAATAATCTACTAGCTGCTACTGTATTGTTTCTTAAGGGGAAAAAAATGTAGAGGTACTGTACATCTTAAATCCAARTCTCCAAAGAATAATCTTCTTCGTAGCACAGATACAGTTTTACAATTCTTTTGTGATTGTATGATACATTTTCATCTCTCTTTCAAACTGAACTATAAACTCTGGGGATGGTAAGTGGATTAGTTTTGTTTGTTGTATGTCAGCACCTAKCAGAGTACAAATTGAATACATAAATAGGCAGTTACATTTTTTAAAGGACATTGACAGAGCAGCAGGTAGTTTTTAATTGTTCTTTTTCCATACACACTGATCATGTAAGTATCAGTTTGAGATATAATGCATTATCTGTTTGAGATACTGAAAGATATAAAAGGGGTGTGTTTCCTGTCTTTTCCTCCATAATCATTGCTGTGCACTTGAAACGTGCATAGCTTATATGATATATTCTCCATAATYATTGCTGTGCACTTGAAACGTGCATAGCTTATATCTATAGTACATAGCTTATATTCCCCAAACTCTAAGCAGTACTTCCATCATGAATATTTTTAAAAGCCAGGTAAGAGAAGGCACGTGAAACTTCTCATGAATAGTTTACTAGAAATCCATGTAAATTGAGACTACCTTTATTCAAGTTAATTACTGTGAAGAGCTTCTCTTGTATACATCAAAAAAAATTTAACAAAACAGCCTAAACACACGCCCACACACATACCAATAAAAGTAACAATCTTGGTTTTTGAAAATTCATTATCCAAGTGCTGTTAATTACAGAGAAAAAAAATAATGAAAATATGTACTAATACTCATCATCATTACATTCAAGGAATTATTTCTCAAACCACCCCATCAACATACACACACATTCTTACTGTCATTTCTAGGTACTTATTATAGCTAAAAAATCAATACAATAAATTACAAATATTGGCAAAAAAGCACTATGTAATGAATTGGTGGGAGTAATTAGAATTTCTCAACTGCAAGACATTGACAAACCAAGCTAGATAATACTTAAAGGAGAAAAACTAYGAGGATAATTACAGTTAGGACTTGAAGAGATTGTAGTTTCAGATCATGGAAATAATTAATGATTCCCTTAATTGTTTGTTTTTGCAGAAATGACTTTTTTATTTATTATTGTGCTATGAAAGTGAAAAAGGAATAAAAGGCAGTTCTGTTTTCTCTTAGAGAACTCTGTAGGAGAGGTGGCCTTGTCTTCTTACTTAGTACTATATCCCAGGATCCTGGAACCTTAATAGGCTCTCAGTAAGCATTCATAGACTCAATCAGTACTTTTTAATTTTGCCAAATTACACTCAGAATTAACATTTTTCATTCTTTGCTCTTAATACTTATTTCCACAATATTCTGTGTGTTTAAGACAAAGCCCCAATTATATTTCTTTTCCTTTTTTTTTGAGATACTAGTTCTTATTTTAAGTAGTTTAAATTAAATGGACTTTGTTCATTTTAAGCTACTGTTTGATAATGGGAACCTCTTCTGTATCTCTAGTAGAATAGCTGAGTCAAATTGTAGGTGCTATCATATGTTCATCAGTATTGTGAAAGAGTTAGCAGATAAAATATAATTAGAATTTTGGGTGTATTGTTTTTCTTTCACACCTAGTTGGGCACGATTTTATTTTAATTAAAAAAAAAAGCTTTGATTT